GTACTTTCTACCGTATTAGGAAACTGAAAAAAATGAAACAGCTCATTTTCTTTTTTATACGCAAGCTTCACAATAATATATTCGGGAGATATTACCACCAATTGAGGAGGATCTGTTGAATATCCCCAAAAAATGAATGGATTGATGACACGTTTACCCTTAAATGTAAGAGAGTCCTGACGATTGATATAAACCTTATGGATGACCAGACGATATTCTTTGATTGAATGACACACAATGGCCACTATAAAACCACAGCTAATTTCATTATTTTCACTTTTAAATAGTAAACAAGAATCGCAATTTTGAGCAAGAGAATTTGGATCATAAACTGTGAACCGCACTTTATTCTTCCACAGTGTTTCGTGAATATCAAAAGGTGGAGAGTAGATGGTTCTTAAATGATTCGTCACCACATGATTGTAGGATAACTCGATCTTTGGACCCAGACGAATTGAATTACATGCTACTCTAGTTGTTTGCTTTGGCAATGCTTGTCGTTTGGAAGAAAATATACGAGATATGAATAATCTAATAGAAGTATTGAAATTGACATCATTAAGTTGTTCTGTAGCACTCTGGAGAATATTTAAATTGTTGGTCAATTCAGAAATCACTAAATTGGGACCATTGACGGATTGAACAATAGAACCTAGAGTATTGAGCATCAGGTAGGTGATCTAATAAAAACGATTAACTATATACTTGTGAAACATACCAATTATACTTTCAAAATTGAATGTTGAGTAATTTTGAAGAGGACCAAAATTTTTGAGTGATTCAGGAACATGTACCATGGAATGAACCACAGATGTCATCGATCTCTCCTTAACAAAAAATATTTTTAAAAAATTCGTAATTGATTGATAGATTCGATTGTCACCCGCGCAGAATAACAAATTCAAAGTTATTTTGTTAGACATCGATGTTTTCATAATAATGTACACATAGCCGTATTACTGCTGATAACGTTACTTGTCATCAAAGCAATCAGAGCAGCAATGTCCAAAGGTTTCCCAGAGGAGCTGGTATTGCTGTTGTTGTTCAGCCAATAAGGTGGCCATAGCAGCGCATGAAGAACAGATTCTTTATAGGTTCGATTTTACGTGTCAAATATTTCAACAACACAGTTGAAGTATTGCCAATCTTTTCTTGGAATATCCTAGCAAAACGCAGTGCACTTGGTTTCAGCCTCAGCCAAACGAAGTCTGGCAAGGCCAACAACCGAAAACAACCATAAGGTTTTATCCGAATTTTCTAAAATTGTTCAACGTTGTCCAATGGGAAACGCTGTCGTTCCTGCAGGCTTTCACCGCAACATCCACGGATTCAAGCATCAGATTCATCTAGTTAGAGCCTTGCAAAGCTGCATCAGCTCATAGAGGGCTTGTTTCTAGCGCTTGTAACTGTTATACATTGCGACAAAATTAATCTCGTAGAATGGTAACCAGGGCACTTTTGGTGCTCTTATGAATAGATTTCGAATTAGTTTTTGAAATTAAGCCGCGACATCACTACAGTGACTACTTCTTTTGAATTCATTATAGCATGGGAGTGCCACAACAGAGGTAGTCTGTAGTTGTGTAGTGTCTAAAGTCTAGGCGCTTTATTTTCTTATGATCTTTGACTGACACTCAAAGTTTGAAGTGGTAATAGACATCTCTGGGACGGATATATTTTCTAATTTGCATCTCAGTGTCACATGAGAAAACAAAATTTTAAACAAAAATAGCATAGACTTTTACCACATAGATGCGTTACTTTATTAAGGGTTGGCAGTTGCTATTGTTATGGCAACAAAGAAGAAAAAGGCACATCATAAGAAAAACAGCATCCAATTCATTTTCTTCTTTCCTTCTTCGCTTGGTAGACCATTTACAAACGGTACCTAGTCTCTTGAGGCAGCGTATACTTTGTATAGCCTTAAATCAATTATAATATGAAAAAGCCTGAAAAATGAATTGGACATGACTATAGCAGTTGTTCGACAGTATTTCATGTGAATAATTTGAAAAACATCAGTAATTTCGATGTCTGCTCAGTTTATTAGAGATTCCCTAGCTTCACAGACGCTTTGAATAAATGGTAGCAATGCTAAAAGATTTTTGGAGATTTGAAATAAACTATTATATGCAAATGTATGTCACATATGTATATATATATCTTATATCATGTGGCCATTTGAGATTTAATTTAGATTAAAACGCATTGAAATAAACTAATTCAGCTGAAAATCTTATAAGGTCACTTGAGTATCAGCTCAATCTCAATTGAATCAGTTTCTATGTGAGATATAGTTTAGACGAAATATTCTAGTGTGCACTATGGTTTAAGCTTTTCGATGATATGAATATATGCCTCACGTTATGTACTTACTGAATACAATAATGAGAATAAATGATCGAATTCATCAAGTAAGAAGTCGATTGTTTCAATTGTATCTTGATGTGGAATTGATGATTCTGCTAAGTTCATTGCAAAAGCCAAAAGTTTTAAATGTTTGAAATATTGTATAGATAAAACTGATTTGAAAAATCTATATAAAAATAAAAAGCTATGTTTCTTCACTGGGACGAGCCTCTATACTTAATAGTGTTGCGGCAATTGTGAGGTGTACACTTTCACTTTTAGAAAAATCTATAGTCTTTCCCAGACCAACACGGTATTTCTTATCAAAAAAGATCCTATCATGAAGTGTAATCATCAACATATTGTCATTTTTGAAAAATTGTATATGCGCACTTTTTCAGAACTCAAAACATTTTCCTTAAACCCTCTCCTTGTTCTCTCTTCGCAACATCTATGACACAGCTAATATTTATGTCGGTATTGAACTGGTAATTATCTATAGACTAGCGAGAGTCCATGCATACTGCACGGCTGCTTTCTCCTTTAACGTATGACCTCAGACGTTCAACTTTTCATTCGGTAACAGACACACAGACACTCGATATTATGTACATAGACGGAGGTCCCTACGGCCTCATACTCTTATATCGCACATATTTTTATAGTCCATGTGGCCTTACAGCCTTATAGCCTTATACTCTTATTGCCTTGCTCCCTTGGGGACCTATGGGTACCTCCATATAATAGCTCTTTAGGATCTATAGGTACCCTCATGTAATAGGTCTTGAGGACTTATGGGTACCTTCATATAATAGCCCTTGACGACCTATGAATACTCTCATATATTAGCTCTTAAGGATGTGTGGATACCTCCATATAACAGCTCTTGTGAACCTATGGGTATCTTCATCTTTAACTTTTTATCCGGCACAGGCAGACACACACATACACACACACTGAACATTATATATATAGGTCTTTGTCCTGACTATAGAATGGTAAGGCTGTAAGTTATACAATACCTAATGTCTTCGCTCTGACGACTTTTTCCAAAGAGTCATATTCGAAAAAAAATTTACCTGAACAATTTTCTGGTTAATATATTATAGATGTATTAGTCTCACCAGACATAGAAAATCGTTACTCGCATTAAAGATTGAATAACTTACTGATAACCAAACAACAATGTTAGTCTGTATTCGTTTCCTTTGAATGTTGAATAGAATCGTAGCTGCGATGGCAAATGGTATGTGGTGGAAGGATATCGAATTGAGTCCAATTGAGCTTCAATCAATTGTATATCTTTATTAATTGAGTACGAAGCACCACGACTCGTAAACCAGATTTCTAGTAAACGTTTCTATCAGGTAAAAATAATAAGTTGGGAAAAATATGTATGTATATATAGAGGTATGAATCCTTACAAATGTTCCTGAATACACATTGTGAAGTGAATCTGAGGTGAATGATGGACCAATATTAAAATATGATAGATCTCGCAAAAGACAAGGACCCCGCTGACTACAAGCAGGATCTATATCATTTCGCTTCTTCTTTGATTTTCTCTAATCAAACAAGAAATTCTTTCTTCCATATCTATTGGAAAGTTTATTTACTTGTAATAAATGCACCATATGTTCATCATACAGTTGATTACTTCGATTCTGATTATTTTCATTTTTTTTTCTTTTGAAAACACGTGTAGTACCATTTTTAGTTTTTATCGAGCTTCCTAAACCACAAAAGCAAACTAAAGATAATCTACACATCTGTGAAAGGGTAACTATATGAGATGTACGGGCTGTGCAAAGTTGTAGAACTCACATCAATCTTACAGTTATTAAGGCTTTCTCCTCCAAAATCTATCTCAGCCCAGATACATTCAAATAGTATGAAATTTCCAGGATTTGTTGGGACTGTAGTCGAGAAGTTATGGTAAAAGTTTCAGTTTTATAGCATGAAGTTCCATCAAGATATTCAGCAAACAAGGATTACAGATAGCACATTTGAGCACTAAAAATTCTCTATTCAGATTCATTCTATTTATTGAATTTCTTTTAAGAGCATGTCGACAAGAAGCGTATTACAGAATTTTTTTTTAAAGTTCTCGCTTTTTGTTTAAAAAAAAGAGTGACCAGTTGAAGATCTCAAAAACTGTGTAAGAATGGACGTTAATTTATAGTAGGGGTTACATATATATTTGAAAAAAAGCTTAGTTAAAAAAAAAAAGAAACTCTCTCATATCATGCGCCTTGGCATCCTCTTTCAAACAAAAAAAAATTACATATATAGAATGTGTTTCGAGAGAAAATTTTGGATCCCGCAATCAAAAAAGCACAAATTGAGAAAAAACGAAAAGTATTTTTTTAAAAACACTACATTCTTAAAGGTGTTAATTGCAGAAATCACCCAAATTTTTATCGAAAAAGAAGTGTTATCAAAAACTCATATCATTTCTAAAAGATCTGGAGATGAGCCAAATTTCCATACATTTATCTCAATTTCAAAATTCTTGACGAAAATTGATTTGTTCCGAGGAGATCTCAAGATATCCTTATATAGCCTGCGGAAGTTCTTCAATGGGGTAGTAATAATCACAAACTATAGTATGACAATCGTATGCTACATATTTTACGTGATCATGAAAAGTTTTATAGATTACCTCTAATCGTGCAGCGAGGACAACTATAATAGCCGGTTGGATCATTGAAATTCATCAACAGTGCCTGTGCCGGCTTGTCAAGGGCTGCTGCAGTCAAGAAAGCATGCACTTTAATAAATTTTCCATTTAAATTTGGAGGTGATACATAAAAACCTAACTCTAACTGTTGCAGTTCTGCCACCCAATCCTTAATAAAATTTTGAAAATGATCTTTTTTAGGTTTAGTTCCACCCATTGACATAGAACAAATTATAATATTACGAATATCAAATCGTATTGGACGAGGTAAATCATTAATCACCATACAAGTAATCCAAATCGAACGACTAAACTTCTTCAAGATTATGCCATCGCTGTTTAGTAACATAGTGATTATTTGTTTACTTGAGTCAATAGTTCGTTCACGAAGAAGAATGTTACGGCATACTTCACCTTCTCGAATATCAGATATACTAGAGATTGTACCATCTGGTTCAGGAATAGTATTATGTCGTTCAAGAATCGATCTTATTTGTGGAAAAAGTTTAAATGTGCATAGTGTTGTAGGTGTTGACATAAAACCAGTGTTGGACTTACATTGAACACTCTCACAGTTTGTTAAACTAGTACCTTTATTACCACATTGTGAACAAACAATATAACTTTGACCTTGTAAAATATTCTCCTCGTTTTTCATAAGAATTTTCTCAATTGAACGAAAATCAGATGGTACATTAATCACTCCAAATAAACGTAACAAATCACATAAGTCGTTTATACAGGATTTGGATAATTTGTGTCGATGTCGGAATAGAGCAAGAGCAGTTGCAATTTCTTTTTTACCAGGTGGACCATGCGTAACATCATCAGCTACAAAATTATTTTCACCGTCTTTTGAGTTTGTATCATTGCTGTTGCTTAAATATGAATCATCGACAAGTGCATCAACAACTGCATCACTATAGACAACTGAAGAATTTTCGAGTTGGTCATCCTTTTCTTCTAGCAGCATTCGACCATTAAATTCATCACTTTCTTCTAACACCATACGATCATGTAATGCATCATATTGTTCTAGCAGCATACGACTATCTGATTCATCATTTTTATCATCAGTGCTATCCGTATAATCGACAATCATTCTTTATATTCGAAAAAAAAAAATTAATGAATTAATCTCAATCTATTAACTTACTCAGCATCGTTTAAATCATTAGTACAGATTGAAGACAAAAAATCATTCCGACAAAGACGATCACTAGCAACTCGTAACCGACGAACCATATTTTTAGCTGAACGGAGTGGAACTTCATCATCGTGAAACATTTTAATAATCTGGAACTCCTAAGTGTATGTATATATGGGGATGATCAGTCTGGTTGGATACTCCAATCCTTTTTATTATCAAAGTGCTTCTATTATATATCAGATAATAGTGATTTTTTACCACTCATAGTACTCATGTAATGCTAATGATCTGCCAAGGATGAGAGATCTATACCATGTTTGAAACTAAAATAACCAAGTGTCTTTAGAAAATCTGTTGGTATTTATGAACACATTATCTGAAGACACTTGATTATTTTAGTTTCAAACATGTTATAGATCTCTCATCCTTGGCAGATTGTTAGCACTATACGAGTACTATGAGTGGTAAAAAAATCACTGTTGCCTGATATAATATAGAAGCACTTTGATAATAAAAATGATTGGGGTATCCAACCAGACTGATCATCTCCATATATAAAAATATAGAAATATGTATAAAGACAGAAACATATATCAAGATATAGAAAAATATATGTAGACATAGGAATATATATGAAGATATAGAAATATATATTAAGATATAGAAATATATTTGTAAATATAGAAATACATATGTAGGTATCAAAATATATACGTAGACGTAGAAATATATATGAAGATATAGAAATATATCTTTTCGTACATATGCATATATATGTATAGGGACATATTCATTGTTGCATGAATAGAAAAAAGTTGTACTTTCATTATCTAAATCAAAGTTTTTTTCTATCTTTATGCGAAGGTTCGAATGGCTATATGATTTTTTTTCTCACTGGAGCCTAAGGAACTTAAATATATCGCATTAAATGATTAGAGTGCTAATGATCCAAATGAATATTCTTTTATCATAGTCATTTTTTAAGAAGTTTCTTATCTTGCTCGTGCCATTTTGTATTCTTGTTTGTTTCATCAAGATAATTATTTCTAAGAGTTTCTTTTATTCTTGTGGAAACTGTTAAAAATATCATCATCATAAACTTGGATAAATAGATTTTTAGAAACATAAGCTATAGTCTTTATAACATTAAAAGCATAAACATAGAGATATAACGATGAGATATATTGGACAAAGTAAGAAATAGTCAGATGAAGAAAAACTTTAAAGTAGAAAAACAATGAACATGTATGACAATTATAATTAAAAGCAAATAAAAAGTTTATTTCTTAGCAATATATATATCATATGTATCTTTTAAAAAAATTTTTAAAGTTCATCGTCGTCTTCATCAAGTTCTTCGGTCATGGTAAGATGTTCGATATCGTCATCGTCATCGTCATCGTCTTCTTCATTTTCATCACCATCGGGATTACAATCATATAAATTCGCATCATTTGCGTTCAATGCCATTTCCGTAGTATCAATAACATCTTGCATTCTTTCATTTCTCTCATCAGGATCTAAATTTTCATCGTTTTGTAATTGATTCAACTCTTCTTGTCGTTGATATTCCAGCTTGCGCATTTCGTGTCTTGCAGACCGAATCGAATTTCCAATTGCACGTCGCATATCCATCATCTTAAAACTCAAATTTGGATGCAGAAGTCGAACATAAACTAAAGATAAAGCAAACAGTCATTAATACAATAGAAGATTGGAAAACTCACGGTAAATGTTTTGTAATTGTGTTTCTGGTAATTTTGCAATTGAAATACAATTTGCTCGAAGACTAATTGTTGGATATAACAGACGAAAAATTTTGAGTGCAGACTTTTGCGATGTCCGTGCCGCAACTGTAATACGATGCATTTCATCGATGCCTAATTCGTCACCAATACTAGAAAGACTCCTTCCATCACCTCGAAATGCACCATTACTATTCAATAAATCGAATAATTCCCTCAACCACTCCAAGACTTCAGCAGTTGGCCGTGCTAAAATGAAAACAATTTATAGTTGTGATGCTTAGCATTGACGCCAACGCAATGTTAATGCACGCTAATGAAATTTTGAAATACTTTAATATGAAACAATTTAAATTCAAATAGCATTAATCTAATAAAACTTAGAACTAATTTTTTTGATCGCATTAGTTATAATGAGCTATCGTTCTGAAATATTCTTTAATCTTCTTCTGGCTTGCTTGTTTTTACACGATGGAAGTTATTGCAATATTTTTATCTCATAATGTATATTGTTTTCGTGTCTAAACCGTGCATTTACTAATGAGAGAGACGCATATATCTTATCAACAAATCTAAGCAAAGAATATTAACTTATACATTTGTATTGAAGATTGAAATGTGATAAATAGTCATAACTTCTACTTGAAAATAAAATACTTCTACTTAGTCAAATACCTATACCAGTGCACAGACGAAAAAATTTTCATTAAAGAAGCTATAGTATCAGATCAAGTGCTACGGTGAGACCTGGAACTATTGAACAATAAAAAAAACAGGAAACTTACGTAAAGTACTTGCTCTAAGTTCTTGTAACTGTCGTTTTAATACCATATAATCTTTTTTCCATTCTTCAGCTTGTTGTTTCTCATGTAAATATAACCTTTTTAATTCTCTGTACTCAAGAGAACTTTCGATCATTGAACTTCCAGACAGTTTAGACGTTGTTGATGCATTTGAATCAACTAATGAAGTCGATAAATTACCTTTGGATAACGTATTTTGAGCTGGAGCTTGTGTAAAACTGTTTAAAAATTGTAATGCAACAATATGTATAAAAAGAAATAAGATTTCAGTAACATGTTACCTTTGTCTATTCATAACGCAATTTTTTTCTCTTGACAATGAGTTCGACAAGACTCTATGAAAAAAAGAAATTAATAATTGTTGCTCATACGAGAAATACCAACTGCGTATTAGTATTTTGTTCAATTCGATCAAAATCGCGAATTGCACCAGTATTTGTTGAACTTGATCAATAAAAAGAAAAAAAAAATAAGAGAAAGCAAAGTAAATATACATACTTTTTTTTTTTGTTGAAGTGGTAATTTTTTCATGGTACTAAATGATAAAATGATACATTCCTTTATTATTAACTACAATAACAACACCAAACCTTGTTCGAGAAGATAAGGAACTATTCGTAGCACGATCTGTTGATTGTGAAGCCTTGTTTTCCACTGCTAACTGTTGATTGATATTAGATCCAACTTTATGACGATGGTTCATTGATGAAGCAGTAGTTTTTGATGATGAAGAAGAAAACGAAATGGTCGATCGAAGTGGTGGATTTTCAGAAGCCATAGAACTGTTATCACCTGAAGTAAAATCATTTTCAGCTAACTTGTCCTTAGAATATTCAGATTCAGATGATATTGAATTTTCTTTATTGCATAAAACAACATCATTATTAACTACTTTGGTAACGTTCTCCTCTTGTTGTAATTTTGTAGATAATCGATTGCGTTTTAGCCGAGATGAAATAGTATCTCGGCTGTTGCTGATGGAGGAGGCCGATCGCTTCATGACTAATTAAGTATTAGCGAATGTATTACGAAGCAATATCAATACGATGTAAATAAAATGATGCTTTTAAATATCGTAGAAATTTCTTCGCGTCAATAGACTGAAAGTTATCTAAACAAAAAAAAACAATCTTACATGATTTAAAAAAAAACAACATCCAATTCAAAGGAAACGTAAATCATCAACCAGTGTCCTTTTTTTTTTAGGAAATGCGATACTAGACGAGCAACACCTACAACAGTGGTTATTGTGTAAACAAAAAGAAGTAAAATATTTTATGTAAGTGCAAAAGATCCATTGCGGTATGTATTGTTTATATTAATGTGGAATAAGAATAATCCAGACCTATGCACTTAAAAATATTGTGAAGAAACATAGTAAAGAATGAAAAGAAAATAGACTATATACTTTTGTTCATTGTATTCTGATATCAGTGTATTCACCACAATACACCAATAGGGAAATAATTCTTATGCCTCTCACGTAACTTAATTACATTAGAAAACATTTAACTCCTAAAGGAAACACGTTTTTACTTAGACTACCATAAAAAAGTCTTAGAATATTTCTCATGAGCATATTCCTGATTGGGTAAACATTTTTTTAGTATCAAGCAACTAACGACATCACACCAATTTTCTTGCAACAAATCATGTTTTTTTGATGAAATTTATTATAATGTAACAGAAAAATATAATTCTTTTTCTATAATTAAAGTATACTAGAAAACAAAAATACATGTTTCGTTGACAGAAGTTTTTATTTCCACGTCAACAGCGTAATACGAAAGAAATGTTTAACTGTGCAAGTTTATTAGGGTGTGGATGACCTATAATTCTGTCGGAAAAAAATCATCTTGAACAAATCTTTAATCATTCGACTTCTCAGTGACATACAGATCTGAGCTTTTTTCCGGAGTAGAGAAAAAATTTCTTTATCGATTGATGCTTAGTCGAAAGAAAAATGTTCAGTCGTTATTGTGCAATAACAGTCAAAATAGAAGCAGGAGGATCATTTTTTTTATCCAATTCTGCTGTGCTTTTTGTTTTTCCGGTCAATGTATTTTTTTTCTTAATTCTATTGTTTACGTGTAAAATTGCACTAAATTGTCGTAGAAGTTAAATCTCTCAATGAAAATGAAATTTGATTAAAATAAAAAATACCTATTTTGATTCATACAATGATCATGCATCGAATGCTATGTTTCCATATAGTTCGGTTTTGTTTACCTCCGTATCTATTTTTGCACAAAAAATAGAAATGTTAGAAAAGTCTGTTTTTCGTTCCTAATTCTGCCGATCAATGTGAATTCTTTTCTAATTATGTCGATCTGGGTAATTTTTTTTTATCTAACTTTGCTAAGACATCAAGAAACGAACTCCAGTCATCAAGATACATAGGTTCATTATCATTTAGAATAGAAAAAAAATTTATGAAAACTTTTGCTAGGGTGGGGTAAGGATAATTTTGTTAAGAAGAAGACCTGGGGAGAAGTATGGGTCCAATTGTAACGAAAAAAATTTTCTCTTAAACAAGCACCATTCGACTCAGGTTTTATGCTGATTCGAAAAGTAGTGACATTAGTACGCTTTTCAATTTTCGTTTATCTGAGATGTTTGAAAAGCATAAAAGAGCTTCAAATTTTACGGAGAACATTGTCTGCACAAAATCTAAACATTTGTAGATACGTTTTCTCATAATATTTCCTTTTTTATGCATCATTTTCATTCAGTATCCAAATTTCAGTAGAACTACATATTTGAATGTATTATATTTACTCTTCATTTACTAGCTCTTGAACAACAAAGTCATAGTAAAGAGTCCAATGGATGTTCGAACTTTGAAGACCTATGTAGTATTTTAATTCATTGGAGAAAGTCGATTATGATCAACATAGCTATGAGAATAAATACACTAACAGTTTGCAGCAAAAAATATTACTATGCTATTGAGAAAATCTAATTTTTCTCTGACGATGACAAAAAAGTACAAAAAATAAGCTTGTGCTTTACAATTTTGATTACCAAATACTCAATCTTGCTAAAAACAAAGGTCCTATTTAAGTTCGGTATAAAAGGGTGTGGGTGTGGGTGTGGGTGTGGGCTGGGTGTGGGGTGTGGGGTGTGGGTGGGTGGGTGTGGGTGGGTGTGGGTATTACGTTTAACAACACCCACACCCACACCGACACCGACACCCTATTGATGATTTTTATAAGGCAACAAAAATCGTACAAGTCGTTTCTGCTCTATGTAATTTGAAC